TCGCTAGGATCCTTATAAAACGGTAAAACAGTACAATAACGACCTGACGAGTCGCGGGACACGGTAGAAGAGTACATTTGCTCGCATTCCTTTTCTGCGGGACTTAAATATTTATTTATAGGAACCTCCTCTAATTCCCAGAATTTAGAGAGAGAATCATTAAGATTATTTTCAATACATGTTAAGAAAGCAGAGGAAGATGAGTCTTGTTGAGGCGCGGTATGATCACGATCAGATGTGGTCGCATTATTACAGGGAACGTCACCAATAAAAACATAACCAAAAATAGTTTCTATGGCTGGCGGTGCGGGTGGACTTATTATTTTTCCACTTAAAAGAATATAAGGGAACAAATTTGCTCCTAATACAAGTTCGATCTCACCTGGCATATGCCAGTGAGGATCTGCAAGCGGTAAGTCGACTAAATGACTTATAACAGACGTATCTATATATTCAATAGGTAGCCGATCGGTAATACAATCGACAACTAACGCGGTTATAGTGAAGCTTTGTTCGTTATGTTTATCGGAAATCATTATTTTAACATAGCCCTTTATAGGCCTCGTTGTTAATCCGACACCTTTTAAAAATGAATTCGTAAGCGGAATAATGTTTAAGTTTAATTGTTTACAACAATCAATCGTAATAAGGTTATGTTGCGAAGCATTGTCTAAAAGGCAACGAACAGTACGTATTATATTTTTGTTATAGTTACGAACAATAACAGACGCTGTAGACAGAAGTACCTCTGTACGCACTTTACTCGTTGGACATACAACACCAGGCATGGCTGCTGTAGTGGTAGGTACTCGAGTGCACAACGACAAAGGTGCGGGCATCGCGATTTCAATGGGCGCTTTTGAGTCCCCGTCAGGAGTCAACTTACATTGCGTTGGAGTACGACAGGGGACTGGCGGGAGTGCGGGAGCGGCGATCGTAGATCGATCACTCATCGCATTAGATCGATGAGTGTAGAGCGGTGTATTATTATTTTGTGCCTTATCTAAATGTAATAAGGAATGATGTCGCTTATTACAAGTTCTACATTTATATTTAGAATTACAAGTGGACACAGAATGAGTTATACTAAGGCAATTTACACAACCTCGTTTAGATTTAATAAAATCTAATCGATTTTTCGGCAGCATTGATTTAAATGTGGAACAGGTATATAACTGATAATGTTCCGAAGTATTACACATAGAACAAGGAGCGCGGTGACTAGAAGTGTCACTTCGTGTAACAAACGAATGTACATTTTGCGGGCGGTTATTTTTAATATTAGTTAATGTATTGCGGCTTACTGAATTAATATTATTATTCGTGCGGTCTAATATTTTCACCTGACTTTTTATAAATTCCACAAAATCCATATAACTCGGAATATCTTTATTTCTAGCGGCCATTTCGAAAGCCTGTGTAGTACTTAAATCCACCTTTCGTAAGGCTAAGTTCAATAAAATAAAATCTTGCATATCATCAATCTTTAATTGACGCATAGCAGCAACAGCGGCATCGAAAGTTTCGATGAAATTATTTAATGAGGCGGAATTATTTGTGGCCGATTTAATGTTAAATAATGTAGAAATATAATATGAACCTAAGGCCCTTTTATCCTGATATTTCTTTACTAAACTTTCCCATATGGAAGTATAATTATTACCAGACGGAATTATACCGGCCATTATTTTTTGAGCGCTTCCAGTTAATTTACTAAGTAAATACTGAATTCTTTGTGAATCGGTTAAATCGGTGTTACAATGAATATTACTCCTAAAGGATTCATAAAAGCTAGACCACGTGGACATATTCCCGTCAAAGCAAGGAATACAGAGAGGTTCTAGTTTGATACTAGATTTATTATGCGGTACCGATTGTGAAGACGAAGGCTTATTCGCTTCGCTTAATATTAAACGACATCTTTTTATTCTACTAAAAATATCTTCAAACGTTAAAAGTGCCTGGTAATCAGGTTCAAATTTAGGATTCAACTGCATTTGTAACTCGTTTATAGAATCTAAATTTTGTATATATTCATAGCGCAGTGTATCAATGGTTTCACTGTCCGCCATGAATGCCTCTGCGGAGCGTAAGTCGATTGACGACGGTGACAGATTTTTACAAGTATCACGCAATCTTGTAATACGTTGAAATATAGCTCTGTTTTTAGCTTCTAGCATTTTTAAATTCGACTCCATTATCGTTACGATTATTGGCGTTGAAAAATACAAATTAATGTAGGTAGGTATGTACGCTTACTGCGTAATATGTATTATACAAATAATAAAGTATTATTATTAATTAAGCGGTAAATGCGGTAATTATTAGAAAATATACCCAAGACTAGGCTTATAGGTATGGCGTACTAATATATTAAGTACAGAAAATGCGTATGCGCGGGTGAATATACGAATAGGTACAAAGAAGCGGTATGGCTTATAGCGGGCGGTATAATATAATGAAATTATGTACCTATCAATGCGGGGATGTAAATCTCGTCCTAATTATAGTATTTAAGCGGTAGGTATCCGGCTCGAAGGACCATGGATAAATGGGGGGTAGCGGGTAAGGTAAGTGGACTGTATGGAATTGAAATAAAGGGGGCGCACAGTACGTACCTGCGACTGTAGAGCGGGTGTATTCTTACACAGCTGCTGCACTCGATGAATACTAAGTTTAACACAGGCACGCACACAAAGTTACTTATTGTTAATGTCAATATTATATTAATTAATTTAAAGCGGAGCGGTTGGGACGAGATGTCAACATTCACGTTAGTAGACGAGGTCGTCGGGCGACCTCAGTTGACATACTGTGCGCGGGAAAGGGATTAGGATATGGGGAATAATACCATACCACTTGATATGTTTATAAATGGCGCGAACAGTCTTCATACTTGGATCTTAACAAGTAGTTATGCATGTGGAGTTCACATAGTGACTGGTGATTCCAGCTGAATATTAATATAGTAAAGTCCAGGTCGAAGTGTATACAAACTACACATTCAAAATAAAGACGACATCGGTGGTCTAGCTATTTACAACACCGCCTTACTTCCGATGGTCGCGGGTTCGATTCCTCGCACGGCACAAACATGGTTATTTTCTATGTAAAATATTTATTTACGAAAAAGATATATATATCCGCGTATTTTATTTGTATCAGCTATCTAGTAGCCTGAACTAATAGCACAGGCTTCAGCTAGTTTAACTTCTCAATTCTGTGAGTATAACAAAAAATATGTGACAAAAGTGTGGTTATTTCTAGAATAGGTAACCCAAATAGTTGATAATTTTTTTTCAGTGCAGTTACGACTTACCGTTAGTTTCAATTCAAAATATGTACATATTCATTTTACAACGGTTGTCTACAATTGACTTATGATAATAATACCCTTGTTGTAATTCTCATGAGCCAGGCAAGGACAATGCTCGTTCTGTGCACACAATACATCGATTGACTAAATAAACCATTTCGGCGTTCTCAAGGGCTGATTTACAATTGTGTTTCTTGATTAGATGTATTTACTTCAACAATGCCTATAGTGGATTTTTAGGTCAAATATTCAGTCGTCTAAGAATGTCAAAAAGGAAGATAAAAACCTCACTAACTTTGCGTGTGCTGCGCAATTTGTATAAACGAATTTTAGGATGGTATCTTGAAGAGGTATATTTGATTTTAACAATTTAAGAATTTACGATTTCGCGGCTCTAATAAAAATCACTTTGTAGAAAAAATATTATTATAAAAATAGAAACCGGACCTCGTATACAACTATTCTCGTATAAAACTTTTTGAATTATTCTCGTATGAACTTTATCTAAAGTACAAGAAGAAAGAGGAAATATATGGTTTTTATTTATAATGTATATACTAAATAATAGATACCTGATTTCTAAATTTCATTCACTTATAGATATCTACATTATTAGCGAGTATGGTAATGGTATGCATTTTATTCTCAAAACAATTAATGAAAGAACCCTACAATAATTACTCCAAAGCGAAACAGGGACGGCTCGTTTTTAATACATAAGATTATAATAAGAATTAAATTATCTCACCACAGTGAAACATCAGTGTAGGCTAATTATTTACAATAGCATTGTAACAGCGAGAGGAAGGCACTATGTCAGATACACGCAGATTGGAAAGTAGCGCGGTTACATAAGCGGAACTCGAGCAACGGTAATGGCCGACAATCCACTGGTCCTAGTCCACCACAGAATATTTTATAACTCGTTGTTACCACAGCGTTCATTAATAGAATACAGGTAAAAAGTATCCTATCTGTATATTATCTAGAAATAGGATCTAAGTATCTGCAAAATTTTATTGAAATCCGTCGAATAGTTTACGTAAAAGAATAACAAACATCCATTAGTAGGACCTGTCGTTTGGAAGGTGAGTCAGAGACACAGATAACATAATCAGAGATAAAGATGAGGGCAGTTAATGCAATGGCTCGCCAGTTTCATTAGGTTCTAATTGGTAACAAGGCTTCAAAATGGAGGTTTTTTGGGCTCAATCATAGTTGTGTAGAAAGAATTCCAGAGGATAGCATAATAAAATAAAATTTCACTTTCACATTATACTCGGTACTACATTGCGGTGTATTAATTCTTATACAAGCGGAGATCTAGACTGCTGCTATCTTCTTACCGAACCTTCCTTTAGTCTACGTCCATCTAACCGTAACAAAACACACCTATTATGATAAAATAGTTCTTATAATGTTTAAGAGTACAGATAACAATAAAGAATAATTCAAGAATTAAAGACTTTTGCACACGGTCTCTCTGTAGGTTGGCGTAATTAATGTAATATATATTGTTCATATAATAGTGATTGTGACAAAATATGAACATAACAGGATTCTTAGCAATAATTTTTAAGAATCTACGTAAATAGGTATTTTTATAGTGTAACAAAATAAATATAATTAATGTAAGTATACTACCATGTAAATATTTTAAAATATTTATTAAATATGTTGTAAACTGAAATATGTTTATATAAAGTTAATTTATCATATTTTCTGGATTGGACGGTTACCTTCTATTAACCAGGCAGTGCCACTATCAGCAGACTCGAACGCCTCTACAGCAGCTCGACCTACCGCATCAGATGTTTGCCACTGTACTTTTGTTCTCAGATAGTTTTCAAAGTCTCGTTGCAGTTCTTCATCTTCACCTTTAATATTAGTTATTTTGGTCTTTGTAAATCCAGGACATACTGCTATGACTCGCACATTGGTCTTAGCATAATGATAATCAAGACCCAAACTCTTAGTGAATCCCAGGACGGCAAATTTGGATGCTGTATAAACTGGACAGAAAGGGTCTATTCTGGAACTGTAAATTGACCCCATATTTATAATCGTGCCTCCATTTCCACCTTTATCCTTTCTCAAGTTCTCCCAAAACTTCAATGTCCATTCTATGACTGCTGTTGCGTTGACTGCTATGCATTTCTTGGGGATACTCTCACAAACAATTCCAGCGTTGTTCACCAAAATGTCGACGGTTCCATATTTATCGAAGATGAGTTTCGACACAACTTCCAAATCTGCAGTGACGTCACATTTGATGAAAGCAGCTTTGTTCTCACCATACTCGGTGTTAAGGGTTTCTGCTGCTTTAGCGCCAGTTGTCTCATCGAAGTCAAGTAGGATCACTATCTTAACACTTTTCTTCAGAAATTCTTCAGCTACTGCGAGCCCTATTCCTTGTGCTCCTCCCGTAATCACTGCCGTCTTATTGCTTAATTCTCGTGACATGGCTAATTCTAAACTATGTTTAGATATTATAATACTTATATATTTTTTACGGCTACACTTTATTGACACCTGTTTACATCGAAGCAAAATATATGTGTCGCAAACAAGTATGATTAATCTATATTTATAGATACTGTTTAATCGTCACGATATTCATTGCGTTCATTAATCGTTATCAGTGCTATATGCGGTGTGTCATTTTGTAAGTGAAACAATATTTTTAGGGTTCTTTTATGCAGTCACATTCTAGTAAATTATTTCTGCATTTTTATGTAGCAACAATTATAAACTGCTCTCGGGCGGATAATCCGTAGGTATCATGCATACTTACCATTTAATTTCATTGCTATATCACCCCTTTCAACACAAGCTTAATTAAGGCTTTGACATAATATTGTTTATAATATAAAAATGAATAGGTGTATATGACATGGTATTGTCTATAATATAAAAATCAATCGCTGAAAATGTTTTTAAGCGCAAATCGAGAACAGCTGAACGATTTCAATAATTCTTTTTTTTTAGAGTATTTCTTGAAGTACGAGCTCATTCGGAAAGCTGTCTCATCACAAGAAACTTGTGTGTTGCTCTTTTAAATAATCCTTGTAAGTATGTTGTATTGTATTTACGAGTCGAAACGTGTGAATACAAACTACCAACTAGCACTAATTTATATAGGTTAAATATAAATACACAATAAGATTAAATCAATCGTAGTGATAAGAGCAGAGCAGTTCCTACAAGCAGCACCCATTCACGAGTATGACGGATGAGCCAGCCATCACTGCTCGACCATTTTTTAGAGAGCTCAATGACCAGGCCCACCACGCCGCCACATGCCTGGACATTTTAGTGAGCATGACTACTCATTCCACTCGAGTCCGGAATAGCAGAGTAAAAACTAAATAAGGGTCAGCTTGTTATTTTAATTTTGTTATCTATATCCAGTCATGTGCCGCCTACTTTATTTTTATTAATGCTCTCTATCCTAAGGTTGTCTGGAAGAGATTGCGATAGCGATAAGGCCGCCTTATATGTATTCTTCTTTTTTCAATGTATGTATATTATTTTTTATGTAAAAAGTAACTCTTCTATAAAAACGTTTCTAAATGATAGTTTTTAATGACAATGATGACTATGAAAACCATATCTATCCATTGCGTGATTTAGACGAAGTACTTAAGTGGTAAAATAGACATTCGAGGACAGAAACTTTGCCTGATAGTATTTAGTGTATGTGATATTCTCTTATCTGTGATCTAGAGATAGTATATCAATATATTATAATAAAACTACAGAGGCACTTTATCTCTCTATCAAAATCCGTTAACAGGTTCAAGTCTCACACTTGTTCAATGTGTTAATGTGATATATAATATATTAAAAAATATATTATTGTAATACAATTTTATTTCTATTTGTCAGTCTGTTTGTACTGTCGGTCTCTCTCTATGTATAGTCTCTTAAATACATGTAATACGGACTCTATTACTCGCATTTAGTCTCTCATCTGGACTGTTCTGCGAATATACTCGTACATACCTAATTGAATCGAAGCGATATGTATCTTGAATATATATCTATCATTACGCGGTTGTTTTTAAAAGCTGAGTACTAGGATTTTATTTTAAAGTCATATTCTTAAAATACGAAAAAAATCGGCCAGGAAAGGAAGGAATAAGGAATTATGATACATTTCATCACTCTTTTGTTTTATGAGTTTTACTGATAGCTAAAGCTAAAATGTTAGTAAGATTTAAGTTGCTGGTTGACACCAGCAACTTAAATCTTACTAACATTTTAAACGCGAAGGTTTGTATTGATATAGTATTGATGGATGTTTGTTACTCTTTCACGCAACTACTAAACGGTCGTTGATGAAACTTTACAGTAGTATAGTTTATACATCAGAATAACATATAAGCTATAATTTAGAAAGAGATGCATGTATATTGGATGATATATAATGTTAAATGTCAATTAAGTGTGATGCAGATGAAGTAGATTTCTATATTTTGGTTATATCTATATGTAAGTACAGGTACACGAAGTCTCGGGTAGAATAGTAAAACTGGATAAGTGACACAGCGCCATCTAGTCCGAAGCTAAGCAGAGCATGAGAGATGATGAGAGAGTGTTATGGACATGGACACTAGACAACTGATACAAATGCTTAAAGACATAATATACATAGAAAACATCCAGACCGATACAAACAATCATATTCATGAAGCTAAATGTTTGCACAGTGCGAGCAATCGAACCTGCCACCATCGGAAGAAAAGCGGTGTGCCAAACCGATAGATTATTTATTCATATAAAGAAGAAATATATAATTAACAATTCAAGTCACTTTGGTGACTTATTTGAAAATGTTGATGGATTGTATTTTCGTATTTGAATGCCATACATGCGGCTAATACAAATAAAAATCTTTTGTAATCTTTTTTTCCACTATTCCACCGACTTAAGACTAAATATTAAGTTTCTAAAGTGAATTGACTATTATCACATATTTCTTTCATTATATAAATTGGACTGACTAGGATGTATTAGAAGAAATGTATTGTAAAACAATTTCTAATTGGATAAATATTTTAATGGTAACAACAGAAACAGTTGACATATAAAAGTTTGTTTTATTATTTTTCATTACAGAATACAAAATATCAACTCTAAATATATTAATATTAAAATAGGTTTTCAACATAACATTATATTATCTGTGCTAATACTAAGATCCTTCGTCAGTTCTAATACACTATTACATGCAATGCCAAATACGGCTTTCTTCGAAACTACCCATGGAGTTTTGTTCCTGTGAACTTGTGTAAAATTTACACTCAAGATCAAAGTCACGAGCGGCGTGTTACTTATATGACAAATGGTCCGTCAGCTTGTTTACCATTCTAATGATAAAGAAAATTAATGTATATAAGACCTATGTCCTACCTAATCGATATACTATAAATAATACTTAAATTTATAACAGATATTTAATTACAAACTTTTTATTTATGAAAATGTAAACAAACACATTTTAATTGGATTATTAGTGTTTATTATTATATAAATGCTATCTTCGGCTCTTGTGATTAACACTAGATTGTTGGTAAAGTCACTTATTATATGAAATTAATTATTATACGTCTATTTAATTTTAACAAAATAAATTTTTATTTCATTAGAACACTGTTTTAATCTTTTTCACGGTTGTTTTTCATTTTTGGTATTGTATAAACGAGATATTTATTGTGATGGTTATTAAGAGCTCATCATAATATTATTATCTATTCTAACTCGTTTATGTGATAAAGTGTTTTTGTAAAGTTATTTAAAATATTTTCAGCAGACTTTGTTAATAGCTTTATCACCTTCAATATTCCATACAGTACCAGATTCAGCACTCATATACACTTCTACTGCAGCTCTGCCTACTGAATCCGATTCTTGCCAAATTCCTCTTTTGATATACGCATCAAATTCTTTCTGTACTTGCTCATCTTTACTTGTCAAAATGTATTCTGTCATTCCAGTGTTAGTAAATCCTGGACAGATGGCAACAACGCGTACACCATACCTCTTGTAATTGTATTCATGTCCGAAAGATCTCGTGAAGCCCAAGATGCCAAATTTAGACGCTTTATATATAGGTATATAAGGGTCTATCAGGTACCCGTACACTGAGGCTATGTTTATAATAGTACCTCCATTTCCTTCTTGCCTCATATACTCCCAAAACTTTATAGTCCAATCTATTGTAGCCGTAAGATTGATGTCTATACATTTCTTTGTATTAAATTCAGAAACAACTCCAGCGTTGTTCACCAATACGTCTACTGTTTTGTATTCATCAAGAATTCTCTTGAAAACTGCATCCAAGTCTGTAGTGATATCGCATTTGATGAAAACAGCTTTGTTCTTACCGTACTCGGGGGCAAGAGTGTCTATTGCCTTAGCACCGGATATTTCGTTGACATCAAGGAGGATGGCTGTTCTAACATTTTTGTCGAGGAACGCCTTGGCTATCGCTAACCCTAACCCTTGTGCACCGCCTGTGACCACGACGACCTTGTTACTCAAGTCACGTTCCATAGCGCAAACTTTGAAATGTCGATTGTACGAATTTAAGTCCCTAATATATAGTTAATTATCTATTCTTTATCAACAATGCATGCGGAATTAGTTATTAACAACTTTAGGGTTCCCTCGCACCTTTATATAGTATTACATGGTATGTTCTAATTATAATCGAATTATATTATATATATATGTATAATATTATTGAATAACCTTTTTTTGTTTATATTACTCGATTATCAGTCGAGATATACTACATACGCACATATGACAGCCTCTGTCTAGCGATTAAGCACACTATCTTACTTCCAATGGTCGCGGGTTCGATTCGTCGAACAGTACAAATGTTTATATTCTATGTATTTACAAAAAAAAATTATTCTGTCTTTTATTCATATCAGTTGTCTAGGACAAGATGATGCTGTGTGAATTGTCCTGAGATATTATTATATATTATTATTATATTAAATACTTTCTTACATGTAAATATTACTATACAGTTTTATCTGATGCTTTGTGGGGGCTTCTACAATATACTCTTTGATTTTGAAATCATTGCGTAAATGCAAAAAGATGGTTCAGGTTCAGCGAAGACATACAAAAGGATTTAAGACAAAGATATTGTAGACAAAGTAGCTGAAATATAACTGTCAAGTAAATTAACCAAAATGCAAGAGTCTAAGGGTCAAATAGTTCTGCATTAAATTAACTCTACTTTATTTTTAATAGAAGACAATAAATTGAATTGGTGACGGCACAACATTGAAATGGACTATGTTTACAATGCATATTTATGGTATTATAAATTAATCCTTATCCAAATAAATACTTTTATCATTACTGCTATATATAGTAGATAATATTGTCTTCTATACTTAGTAATTTGGGTAAACAGTTTACCTTACCGTTGCGACGCGGACGATGAAAATATCTTTACTACAGCGTGTGTGACTGTGCGTCGTATAAATTAATAGATAAAGTTTCTGTAATAAATTCTAATATATTGTATTTATTAATAATATATAACATCACCATCATCGTCTTAGTAGAGTAGATTTGCTTGTGTTGTGATTATTTCCATTGTTTTTTGTAAACAACAGTTTTCCAAAGATTATTGAATATTATTTTAGTTTAAATGTTGTTGCCGATTTGAATAGTATTTACTTCATTAAATATAAGTATTAAAAATAATGCTATAGTATTATACTTCAATAGTGATACTTATATCTAATAAGATCAATTATATTCTTTAATTTTTAAAAATTTTGCAATTTTCTTGGGATATAATTGATTTCATTAAACAATTACTAATTGTTTAAAAATTAAAGAATGCAAGTTTAAAAAGTTTATTTTAGAATACTTAAGTATATTCATCCGAACATTTTTAGAGAACATCTGATTATTTATCTCTTCTTTATCTTGGTTGTTATGTCATCAAGGAATAGCGAAGTAAATTCTTCTATGGATGAATATTAATAAAACTGATAAAAGAATGATAATAATAACCTAAACAATTGTGAATTGTTAGCGATATACAGATTCGAAATAAGTTTCGTATAAAAACCGTACCAACGACCATCAGAAATAAGGCGACGCCGACGTGCTAAACCGCTAGACCACCGTGGTCGTCAATACAGAATTATGCAGCCGTCTACACTATTTACATACACTGCACAGTGTATTACGCCTGAGTTAGGCCACTGTAGTAGGTACCTATAGAGTTTGTGACGTTTATAATTTGTAGGATACATTTTTTGATGTAATTGGAATGGCAAACAAGCATACAGCCCACTTGATCTTAGGCACGTTATATACAGGAACGGCACTATCACTATATTTATAAAAGCCATGAAATGAAAGCGTCGTTGTCTATTGGTTGTTGTAATCAATTCGACGTACAAAGCAAAATGTTTACATATGTAGTTTACATATTATTGGATTCCACATATTGTTGAATTTACTTAGCAATTCTAAGTCTAATTTTGCGTTCACTAAGAAATCTATACCGCTTTCATTTAGTTTGGCTTCTGTATATTTCCCGTTCGATAAACTAAGAAAAATAACTAAATAAATGTTAGTATACTATACTCTGGGGCGATTACTGCTTTTAGGTTATCTGTACTGATAAATTTGACATCAATCTCTAAGTGTAATGTTGATGTTATTTTTAGGGTTCTATTTCGAGTAGTCTTGATGAACCCTATTATTATTGCCACAATAATAATATATTATACTATATTATAATGAAGCAAGAAAACTGAAAACTATGTTGCTATAGACAGACAATGTTAACAATATAAGTAGATGTTAATGTTAACAAATAAGTAATTCATATATAAGTTTATTCTCGTGTATACTTATATCTTCATCAATTCTGAGTATAGTTTGACAATCGACATTTCTTGTTAAACTTGTTATTAGTTAATACACGTTTCATACTAACATCATTACGTTTGATGTTTGTATAAAACAAGTTGTTTTAAAATTATCATTCACAAGATTTTCGTATAAAAATATTACGGAGCCCTTAATGTATAAAAACAAATAACGTGGTCTAACATGTGACGTTACGAAGATAATTTAATACAAACAACGATTACATAATTCCACAATTGAACGCTGCGTGAGATGTGAACCATTAAGTTAGCTGTGATCACGCAAGAAGTACATATAAATCGAAATGGCGCGTGATCTAAACAACAAGGTAGCGGTGATCACAGGAGGTATACAAGGCATAGGGCTAGAAATAACTAAAGCATTTCTCAAGAAAGGTGTAAAGAAGGTAATCTTACTTGACCTCAACGAGAAATCTGGTGCCGAAATTGCAAACATCCTAAATTCGGAGTACGGTAACAACAAAGCTGTTTTCATCCAATGTGACATCACTACAGACTTAGAAGTAGTTTCGAAACTTATTTTTGATAAATACAAACCAGTCGACATTTTAGTTAACAATGCTGGAGTTTTTTGCGAGGATAACCCGAAGAAATGCATGGAAGTCAATGCAACAGCTCTCATAGAATGGACTCTCAAATTTTGGGAGCACATGAGGAAGGATAAAGGTGGAAATGGTGGGACAATTTTAAATACGGCTTCGATTTACAGTTACAGAATAGACCCATTCTGTGCAGTATATAGGGCATCCAAATTTGCGGTCTTGGGGTTCACGAAGACCCTTGGACTTGAATATCATTATGCTAAATCTAGTGTACGTGTTATAGCCATCTGTCCTGGATACACGAGAACGAAGATAGTCACCGCTACAGCTGAACAAGAGCAAGTGCAACAAGACTACGACAAGTTCTTGAAAACGGACGTTGTTTGGCAGGACCCTGATGCGGTAGGGCGAGCTGCAGTAGAGGTGTTCGAGTGCGCTGATAGTGGAACAGCCTGGGTGATAGAGGGTGATCGCGCTATTGAGAAAGTTTGAAAAGACGACACTAATATACTACAAAGTCTTATTATTGAAGGTTATATTATGACAATACTAAAATACTATACGTATGTACTTGATATATTTATATGCGACTGTCGGGCAAAGATGTTGTAAATGCATGCACTAGTTACTTGTGGAGACTACTAACGGCCAAATCATCAGACATTTGAGTAACAATTTTTTTTATTTCTATACGAACTTGCAATTTAAAGCATATGTAATAGCCGATTTTGTATTGATAATTAAAAACAACAAGGCATCTGGTGTCCGATATTTCTGCTACATGACACAAACAAAAATTGTCTGGATTAACATAGCGCTTTATCTATAGATATTGTTAATTGTATTGTTTTTGTTATTTCATTCCAATAAAAAAATGTTATTCTACTTTATCAAGAATATTACGGGCTTATGTAATAAAAAAACCAATATTTATTTTTATGAAATAATCCCATAATATCCTTATACAACAATATCATAAGATAACAGTTACTAGTGTGATAAATGTGATGCAATTAATACATACGTATGAATAATGCATTTTGATACCTATGTATCTAGAAACATTTGTTAAGTAGATATTTTGTAATTAATGACTAATCTAATTATTTTCCTAAAAATTTACATAATTAATAAATGGCTAATTTGGCGATAGATTAGTAAAATACATGTAGAATTTGAATAATGTAAATATAATAAATAGATTTGTACTTATTGTGATTCCAAATTTTTTGTTAGATTCTATAAAAAAACTCGAAAGCTGACTAGTACTATCTACTACTTTACCAACTTTAAAATGGAGAAATTTTGTTTGTTTTTTTTTATGTCACAAGTCAAGCAATGTATTTGCTAATGTAACGTCGATTTTGAGTGTTCATTTTTGCATTCGATAGCGCTTCATTTTGTACATATAGAGGCAATACAGATCCCAACACATTAATTCCAATGGAAACATTAAGAAATATATAATAATATTTTTTGGTAACTCTATTTGGCCCCATTAAATTATCCATATTTATTATGTGTAAAATGTTAACAACGCTAACAACATCCATTCACTTTCACATTTTCGAAGGTTGAATAAGAACTAACACCTAGTTAGCGAAGATTGGATATAATAATATAAGTTGCGTGGTATTAATGCATTCAGAAATTAATCAAAATTCATTATTGTAGGCACATTTACTCTTTTAAAACTGGAAAACTTAGATCACATTTTATCCTTACAACTTCATATTTCCCTGGACAATTCTTACATTACATTGCCGGAAAACTGATGCCTGATGACTCATGTGTCATGACACCACCCTGTCTGCCTTTTCTATACCTCTCTTCTAATCGGAACAGAGCTTACGAAGAATATATATACAAATGCATTAGGTATTGTGAATTTAACTTATTAGTTGCCTAACATCCGTATGTCTTCCGTATTTTGGGAAAAGATGGCGCTGCGTGATATGAAGATATTATATCATCGTTATCGTCATCGGTTACTGATTTATATTTTATATGGTGAAGTTTATTTAATATTACTTAAGTCTAATGAATTCAAATGTAAAAAAATCTACGATACAGGTAATAAATATTTTATATTGTAGGTTTGAATGCCATAAATTTGGTGTATTTGTTTAGAACGCACGATGCAACGGACAGTTATCTACACAAAGACACAATTGTAAAGCACACATATTTTTATATCTGAGGTTAAAAAAGGATTCTTTTTCATACAGACTATTCTAAATAAAATTCTTATTTTAGACTGGTTATTAGGCATTTAACATTGTGGGAACACTAATGTGAGATAAACAATTGTATTGATGGTTGGGTAACAGGCAGGTTCACATCACATGCTTTTGTTGACTATTTTTTATTAAAATTAAGGTTACACCTGCGCGGTATTAATTAGTGGCTTATTGCAATATTAAAGATTTGGTATTTACAATACCTGCTTAAAAATTTGAAATTATTTAAGAAGTATCTATTGATAATTAGAATGCATAAGTTTTGGATGTTTAACACATCTTTTTTTCGATCTTCTCGAACATTTAGTTATATATCCCATGTTCTATATATCTAATATACTGGTTTGTCAATATCTAGATATTGTATTAGGTTACAAACTACGTACTTTAAGACAAGTACGAAATTAATATTTTTCTTTTTGAGTTACATAGCCACTTTATTTGGCGTAATTTTATTTTTACAACAAAAATGTTGTATGTAATATAACTCCCTAAGTAAATGCATGTGCATTGAATTGTGACTATTAAGTATGCAATTAAATATCAATGAGGTCCTTATTAACCTATAAGCATATACACACGACTCTAAAATTGACCGCATTATGTGTAGTCTGATAATTCACATATGAGATTTAGTATGCGATCTGTAGCGCTGCCCACCTCTGCTCCGCAATCGCGACCGATTTGAGGGCAGTCTTTTTCGAACTATACTAATGTCGTTGGCCGCAAATGGTCTTTACAGCTTCACCGGACGAAAATTACAGTATATATAGACACTTATACTATGTCAAAAATTGCTAAACCTAATATGTAAATACAATGTGCGAAAACGCAAAGCGTTGCGAATACGATGCGCGCGCGCACCGTCCTGCTTCAATGAACGTATTCCATATTTAAACAGCACGCGCCATTGGTCCACTTACTTCTTTAGGAATCCGTAGGAAAATATAATTATTTGGATGAAATGAATATTAATTTACCACGCACAACCAGCAATAGTATTTCCGACCCAAAATAATATTAAAATCTTCAGGAAAAGAGCTTATTCTTTTTAATAGGCCGACACGCCCAGGAGTATGCGACATTATAGAAATTGATAATTATGAGGACCTTTTCAGATGTACACGGAACAAACAGACTCATAAAATCAAAATAATATGGCCAATCACCTACTTGTGTTCTTGGAAAAGATCCTTCTTATGACCGTTGAAATATATTTATGCTCGCAATTCATCTTGTCTTGTTGCTATAAAAATACATATATAAGGTAATTAGTGAATCATTATAATTTACTAATGACCGGGTGACCTTCATATCGATGATATGGTAAAGTCAATCATCAGGTTATCTGTATGCTACGCTATAAAAAGTATTTTATAAGTAATTAGTGAATTCACACTTATAATTTACTAATGACATAAGGGTTTGTTACCTTCATATACGAACATGTGCATTTCACACTTTCACTTTCAATTTATCAAGGTGAATGTATTTTTTTTTATTTACGGAACCTTTAATGTTTTCTGTATGTCTGTCAAAAAGTCAAATGGCCGTGCCACTTCAGAAGCGGACTGCATTAATGCATTTATCGATATTGCACTGCGCGTCGGTTGAATGGCAATCAATATGACGGGGTGGCGAGCCATAACGCTGAGCTACTAAAGAAAAAGAAAAGCCGCCAACTGTAATTAATATCTCTACGGAAGTCGGTACTTGTACTCAATTACTATTTAATAAGTATAAATCTAGTCAATTTAATTAAGTAGTCATCTCAACGCATTTTGAGAATTTTATGAATAGAAAGATAATGTATATTAAGAAAGAAAGATAATGTAAATAATGTATATTTTGTATAACATATATATTTTCTGTAATAAGAATAATTATAAATAGTTCTATAATAGGTAGTCGTACTTAGAACACACTTCAATTTAAACCACAAAAACATTGTGTCTAATATTTTTGAAACACCGATAACTAAATAAATTAATAAGTAAATGACTGACGGTAGCATCGCTCTAAGACTTAAATAAAAAGTTTTGCTTTATATGAAAAAATACTCATTTAAAGGTGGGCATGTAAAGTTATGCGTTTATTAAAAATATTAATTTATTTGTGTCAATATGTATTTGCCAATGTCTCTGGCTATCTAATCCTGGATAAAAGTAGTAAATTAGTTTAAATAAACTTCCTAAAAAAATTACCTTATCTTACCTTAAAAAAAATACATAAATAATATTTATATTCTTAATCAGGTCTTAACAAATACAACGAAAGTTTAAAAGTACATAAGTTTACATTCATAAGTATATATATTCTATGTATATTATATACATAGATAATATACTTCTGAATTTGTACAATGCTGAGATCGTACCCGCGACTGTCATTAGTAAAGCAGTATTCTTAGCATCGGGAAGAATATGCTTTTAGCTGTATGAACGATAGTGGCGAGATTAATACTAACAATGATTATGAACAACAATGCAAACTTGTACAGCCATTAGTTATTTAAATTTCAACATCAAATTGCACGTCTAGTGGAGCATTACAAAATTCGGAAGCCTGGAATCCTCGTGTAGAGGAAATGGCCTACAATAATAATTGCCTATTAAATTACCTGACTTTACTAACAATATCGCAATATCTCCCATTTCCGATGCACTTTCTAAAGTATAGTTATTGTTTTTTTTAATGAAGTCAAAATGTCTTTCTAAAGGTCGTCAATTTGTTAAATTCTTAAAATTATTTATTCATATTTTATAATACGATCATTGGGTAGATGAACTATAATATGTATAATGAATACAAATATGTGCACCGTGCAAGGAATCGATTTCGCAACCATTGGAGGTACGCGATGTGCTGAACCACCACCAAGACTGGAGACTCCGCCGATCCCATAGTCATGTGGCCGAGCTACATCTCATACTCTTAAAAAATTATTAGGGTACTCCTTTATATTGTTCTTCATAACTTTAATGTTACTTTTAATACTTATAGTTTTGTTTTATTCATTATATTTTCGCTATACCATAAAACATTATCTTTGTCTTAACGTTTAAAATCTCAGCGTCTCAGGCATATTTAACTTAGTCTCATTAAAGTTTCTTACATGTGTATATCTACACAAAAAAAACTTTTAAAATGATCTGATAAAATAATTTTAAAACAATAGGGTTGGTAATATTGTTATTTATTTTTACGACTTATATTTTATTAAACCTTCTTCTTTGATGCCTATTGGATTTA